GCTCACAGCTGTCTGAAAATCCAGTTCCAGGGGACCTGACACCTTCACACCAATGCACATAAAATAAAAGATAAATAAATCATAAAATTTTAAAAAAAATTAAATGACATTAATTTGTGTGTATCACACACAAACATGTATCACAACACAAAATGTGGAGGTGGCCAGAGGACAACTTTTAGGAGTCAGTTCTCTCCTAGGTGCCAAGGATCAAACTCAGGTTGTCAGGGCTGCCAGCAAGCACCTTTATCTCGCTGGTCTACTATCCAAGACTTTTAAACACCAATAAAGGTAAATTATATTCTCTCGTTAATCTTAAATACCAGAAATCTTAATGTTTTTGTTTTAAGATAGGGTCTGCTCTGTAGCATAGTCTGGCCTTGACTTTGTGACCTTCTAGCCTTAGCCTCCCAAGATCTGGGACTAAGGCATGTAGCATTTTCACACAGTTCTGTAAGTAATATTAGACTATATTTTTCTCATACCTTTCTCTAATTGAAAGGGTTTAGTTCACAAATGAGAACAAAGAGGAAAAAAATTCCTAGTTTGGCTTGACATATCACAAAATAAGACAGTTGCCAGCTTTGGCCAAAATTGGAGGCAGTGATTTCATATCTCTTTATTTTCTTCCTTCCTCTCAGCATAAGAAAAACCATCATAGTTCTTCCGTTTATGCTCGGAGGAATCTACTGTGGCCCTGACGTGCTGCTGAGGACACAAGCAGGTAGGACTTGGGAGGACAAAGGGGTCTGGTTCCGTGGAACCTTTACTTACGGTGTGCAGTGAGTCATGTGAGGCTTTGTAAAAACCTGTGTGTACTTTACATCTTTTGAATACAATGTCAAGAACTTAGAAATGCCAACAGCTCTAATTCAGTCCTTTGCTTTACTGAGCTAGAAACCCTATTCTAGAAGAAAACTTCAACTAAATAATTATTCTGATTCAATTTCACATCAAAGATTTGGATATAATTTCAGGCTTTTAATTAAAGACTTTAGATTTGTTCCCATGATTCTTTTGATTTCAGGCTTTCCTACTCAAATGAATGGCTTATATATATATTGAGATGTACCTCGTGGACCTATCTTTTGATTAAAACTCCCATTTTTATTACTGTAGTGACATGACTTCTTGGCTGTAACCGAGAGCAGATGGGATGGTTAGCAACTACAGCTGTCCAGAATGAGTTTTAACTGCTACATCCTCAGCTTCCCAATTATTTAATGCCTATTCTTTGCCTCTAAAATGTTAACAAGTAACAATAGGGAGATTAACTTGGGCTGGGGGCTGGGGAATGTAACTCGATGGTAGAATGCTTAAGTAGAATGCTTGAGACCCCAGGTTCAAGCAAGCCTCCTCTCTTCTCTCTCTCTCTCACACACACACACACACACACACACACACACAGATTAACTTAAAACACTAGGAAGCAACTGAAGTCGTCAAGGGCCTATGCTGATGACTTTTAACTGATCAAATCAATCTTATTAGTTAGCTTTGATTCAGATAAACTGTTAACCATTTTAAGATTAACTTTTCTAATTTATTATTAGTTTTGTGGGCATTTTGATTCAGAAATGGTCATCGACTAATACAGCCCAAGTTCTCTAAAACAGTTAAGGTTCTTAAATATTTATTGTGTGGAAACAATTGTTTCGGGTACTTCACATCCTAACGTAACTTCCATAACACTACTAGTAACTACAGCACCTTCCTGTTGACACGTGCATGAGTGTGTGTGTATGTGTGATTCTACTACATCCTTCTTACCCTGTCCATTCCTCAGGATGCTCAGGCTCCTATTTATTTATTTAGTCTCCTGAGACAATGTCCCATAAAGTACAAGGTGACCTCTTGGTCTTCCTGCCTCAGTCTCCCAAGTGTTGTGATTTCACCATACCCAGACAGTTACGTTTCCTTTTTGTTAGGAATTGAAGAAATGTAGTTTACAGCACACTTTGTCCAAAGTTAAGCTAGCAACACTGAGCTTGGTGGAGCATGCCTATCATACCATTCAGAGTTGGAGGCAGATTTGATTGGGAGTTCACGAACAGCCTTGACTGCATAAGAACTTGCCTCAAATAACAACAAATGAAAACCAAAGTTAAAACAGTAAGAAGTACAGCCTAGATTAATGTCAGACTTCAAAGCCTTTTTATCTTCTCCATACCCAGGCTGACCTTGAATTTGTGACAGAGGCCCCTGCATTAACTCCAGAGTAGCTGAGATTATAGGCTTGTGTCAATAGGTCCAACTTAATTTCCTTATGTTTCAGTGTTTTTTCTTAACTATAACTGTGCAGAAGTGCTGTGATGTCTACATCCTTTGGCTCACAACTAAAGCATTTATTAAAATATAATTTATAATAAATGGCTGCTTAATAAAATAGTTTAGTGAAGCCTTAGTTTCCTGAAGATTAGTATTCTGGGTCAAATCTAAAGATAATGAGGACACAGTTCAGTGGTAGAATGTTTGTCTAGCATTTGAAAGACTTAGGTTTGACCCCAGCACCTGCTTTCGGTGGTAGAGCAAAGTCAATCTGACCTTCTTTCATTTTTTTGCGGGGGAGACAAGAGATTTCTAGTCTTAAGAAAAAGAGGTATTACACCTCTATCAACCACCTGGATGAGCTTAACGAAACCAGTCTCCTGAACTTCACTTGAGAGCTCTAGAAAACTCCAGAAAATAGCTGCTTAGCGCCTATTTCAGTTTCAGCCCAGTAGTTGTTCTCCAAGATTCATGAGAGATTAACTATGTAACGATACTGAAAACAGAAACAAAGACTACATTAGCAGCAAGTTATTCTTTTTCAGAGTAACAGACATCATTAGACAGTTTGCTGTTATATTAGCACCAGAAAGCACTTTATGACTTGGGATTAAGACCCTCAATTTCTCAACACAGTAAAATTCTAACTATGGTCATGGAAGAAATGCCTCCAAAATTTAAACTTTTTTCTGATACAAGGAGCACCTCAAAGTTTTCAGATACAGGCTGTATACAGAATTTAAAGTTGTTTAACTCAGTCAGATACTGAGAAACAAAAGCAAAACAGAATGATAAATGCATAGACTCAGTACTGAAGACGTTTATAAGCTGGAACTAACTGTACCAAGTGGTATGAGTCAGTGTTCTCATAAAATAGCCCAAAACATCTCTCTCTCTCGATACTGTTAACTCATGACATTCCACATAGAAAGATTAGGGAGTTTTGTTTGTTTTGCCAGCAGCTAGCTCCCATTTATTATGAGAGACGTCTCCCCCTTCACATGCACAGATCTGTTTCCAAGCACTTTAACGCATCCTTTTTACCAGAAACAAAGATTTCTGGTCCGCGTAGAGGAATTTATCTGGCAGCCTCAACCGGCATTTGGCCTGATTCTTCGATTCTTCGAGAGATCAAAGGAGTCACAACCTAACTTTCCTAAACTAGGATCCAGAACAGGCTTTTGGTAATGACCAGGAAGTGCTGGGTACAAGAGAATCAGTGGGCGGGTCATGATCCTAGACTACCCTACATCAGGTTTCCACTTTCGGAACAGTAAGGCCGGGGAACTAATGGTCTGCACCCCCATTCTCTTGTCTGTCATATTAAGTCAGTCTGCCCAGAGCAAAACCAGCAGAGCTGCCTGGTGGATCCATGAAGGAATCACATCACGGGGCCAGGGGACGGCCTAGGTTGCTCTTGACTATTAAGGATCCACCGGGAAGTCACCACACCCCTCATACTCTCTTCCCGCCCCTGCATGGACAGCCCGGCTCTAGGGTCCGTTTCTCTTTTAGGGCCCTGGAGTCCTGACCGCTGACACCGGACGAGGACTGCCCACCAGGCCCACCATCCTCAGAGCCCTCGAACCCTTGATGAGCTTTGCTACTCTTTTGAGGGGAGCTTTCCTGTTTGCTGCCCCAAGGGGGGGGGGGACTCACAGCTGCTGCAGCGCCAGTGAAAATATCCTCCCCCTCGGTGTCGCTGTCCCCAGCCTCGGGTTCTGACCCCCCGGCAGCCCCTTCGGACTCCGGATCCATGCCAGGGAAGGGCGGAGGGAGTCGCTCCGAAGCGCTACAGCCACCACCTCCCGACGCCATCTTCCTCCACCGGTGGCGGAAGCAGCAACAACAACTTTATAGATAGTGCCGCGAGCAAAGCGCTCCAGCTGTGAGAGGTGCGCGAGGGCCGTTACGGACCCCGAGGGACCAGAGGGGCGGGGCTTCTAGGGACAGGCACTTGGGGCGGGGCCTGTGCCGTTGCCCAGCCAATCCGAGCCCCGAACCTCAAGGCCGCACTCGGGCGGGCCTAAGCGACAGAGGAGGAGCTAGAGGCTGCCGGGTTCCTCCGGGCCTTTGTGCCCTGCGTAGCTGTATCTGTCACGCTTCTAAGGTTTTGTTGTAATAAAAAAGTCTATGACTAAAAAACGTTTGAAAGCCTCTGCATGCCACCTGCTCATTCCGAGCACAGCGCTCTCACAGAAATTCAATATTTTTAATTGAGGTCTGAAAAGACTGCGGGAAGTTTTGCTATTTTTAGGACATTAATTCATTCAATATATACTGAGCATTCACTGTGAGCTTGGCACCTTACTGTGCGTTTCAAATACAAATACAAAAGCTCCTGGGCTCACTAAGTGTTTACACTTTAATGCGGTAGGCAGTCTTGTAAATCAGCAATTTAAACACACTTAGTGTTAAGAGTGTGCAACAGTAAAAGAGGCTGATTCTTTTGGGAGAAGTCAGGCTTCAAACAAAGGGAAGAGCCTAGTGTATTAAACTCGTTTAGAAATTTGGGGTTATCTCTTCAATGACTATGAAGTGAAACGGAAGACATGTCAGAAGTAGAAGAGATGACAAGGACAATAGTTGGGATGGAACCAGAATTTCATGGGATCTAACCATAGGCTGGTGAGCCGAACCCAAGTAGAGTTTAAGGACAACGTAGTATGTTATCATGGATTAATTCTGCACGATAATTCTTTCTTTTCAAAGAGATGAAACTTGTCAAGTACCATCAATAAAGGTGACTTGCTTTTCTGGTTGAAACAAGGTCTCACTTCGACAGGCCTGAAGTACTGTAACCAAAGTTGGCCACAAACTTATGGCAATGCTCGTTACTCAGTCTCCCAAGTGCTGGAATTACAGGGGCAAGGGCACCATGCCCGGCAAAGTTGGTTGTCTTCAACTGCAAACTCCACTTTAGCGGTGGATTCCTTCACGGACCGTAAGCTGCTTGAGGGTTGGCAGAGTGCCTTAGTTTATAACCTTAATTCCTGCAAATTAAGTGTCTAATAAATATTTGAGGCTGGAAACACAATCAACCATGTAACCGGCACCCATCACAGCCACGAACACAAGAAAGTTTAAGGGATGCCTTTTCAAAATGATGAGCTCCATTATCATCACTACGCACAGTGAACATAGAGAAAGTCTCTCGCTGTAAGGTGGTTGGTAGAAACACTCCCCATGGAGGGAAGTTGAGCTGGACTAAATCTCTAGGAGACAAGAAAACGAAGTTTTCCCTGGCCCTTCGTCACGCCTAATTATCAACGCTTGGTCTCCCCAAATATTCCTTTCCGTCGCAAAGGAAATCCATTTCCGGCCTGATCAGGAAGTAAGATTTGATAGAAAAGAGTTTCCTCGGAGAAATAGCTGTGAAGAGTCTCCGTTCGAGGACTTCATCCAACAGTAGTAACCTTGATCTCCTTTTCCTACCTCCTCACGATTCATCTTTAGTTATTCCTAGGAGCTGAGTGGGACATTTGGTGACTCGTAACAGTCCGGTACATGATCTTCTGGATGAGACTACAAGTCACAGAATGCAGTTTGCCGCCACTCAACTAACCCAGACATCCCAGCATGCAACGCTTCTAACGGGCAACGAAACCCGCAAAGCCTGCTGGGACATGTAGTATTTGCCGTTTATTTCCCGAGGTCCTTCGCGTTACTGTTTTGAGTCCCGCCTATTCTCTGCTCTCCTAAACCTTTATACATTTGTCTTCGTTTAGTTGAAGACCAGGAAGTTGATAGCTCCTGAGGTCGGCTGCAGAAAGACGGTGGCTCGGTTGGGACAGTCGCCAGGGATGGCGGAACGTGAGGATGGAGCGAGTGTCCGGGCTGCTCTCCTGGACGCTGAGCAGGGTCCTATGGCTCTCAGGCTTTTCTGAGCAGGGAGCTGCCCGGCAGCCCCGGACCATGGAAGAGAAAGCGCTAGAGGTTTATGGTAATTAACTTTACCCAGAGCAGCATTTGGTGTTATTTGGAGAGGCGGCAGAGGAGAGAGGGTGGAGGAGGGGCTCACCTTTGAGCTGGAGTGGACACTTGGGCTTTTGCCAGACCTAGAAGGAAGCGTGTTCTTCCGGGTCCCAAGTCACGCAGAATTTCGGTCATTCTAGGACCCGGGCTATTCTTAAACCTGGTGCGAAATTGAGTCTGGAACTCATAAACGCTTCATTCCCCTGCTCTGCCCATGCTGCTCTAGGCACCATGTCAAGACGTGTGGGCAGAATGAGTTTTCAGTGGTCAGGGAGCAAAGCTGGCCTGATTGCACGACTGGAGAGTCTTTCTTTCTTTAGTTACTGGACACGCGCTCCTCCCGCCAGAGCTGAGGTCACTGTTGGGTACAGGCTGAGTTGGGGACTGGCCCAAGGTCACAGCCACTCTCTTCAGTGATAGTCAGTAGGAAGTGGAGAGGTTGAAATAGACACCTCAGAGTGAGGCCTCAAATTTACAGTTCTCTTGCACAGTCAAGTTATATATGTATGTATGTATGTATGTATATATTCTCTCAGATATGCTCCACTTTGAGTGACTGTCTTCGTTTTAAAGAAAAAACCGCCAGGAGGTGTGGTTTAATAAGTACCCCGAGGTCACATAGTCAATCAGGACCAGAGAAAACCAAACATGTGAATCCAAATGTAGTGCCTTGTTCTCGCTCTCGCCACTTCCTCCTCTGTCCTTGACCCTCTCACCCCAACCCCTCCCTATTCCTCTCCCCACAAACTTATAGTATTCTTTTTCTGAATCCAGAAAATCCAGGGTCTCATGCAAGCTAGGTGTGCTCCACCCCTAGCCTAGAAGTAGCACTAAGAGATTTGATCCTACAAATACGATTCTTGGCAGGAAGAATGATTCCAAGGGTGGAAAGAACTCCGGAGATAATCAGGTTTACTTCTCTTTGTAGAGGCAAGGCTGACAACCCCAGGCTGAAGATAATTATGAGTGTGCTATCTCCACAAAACATTCCTGTCCTACCATCCCTCTATCTATAGCATCTGGAGACTGCGACTCTGCAAGAGAGATGATTCTAGTCCTTGAGTTTATAGTGAATGAAACCCACATAGGTAAAAGTAGAAGGTCATGCGCTCAAGTAGGAGGTACGGACATCGGGAAAGAGAGAGAGTAAACTGACTAGAAACATCTGGAAAGGTGTAAGAGACTTACTTGAGTTGGGCCTTAAAGAGTAATCTAGATCTGGATATGTCAGAGGCTGTATACGCTTGAAGGAGCTAGAGAAAAATGTGGAGGTGAGAAGACAGAGGGAATTAGCAGTCCAGAAGGAGGTACCGGAATTTGCAGGTGGAGGTGTGAGTAACTGCTGTTTTAGATCATAGATTGCAATTGAATACTGAAGTTTTCAGTTCCTTTTGTTACGATTATTTACTATGTACACATGTCACGGTGCAAAATCAGAGGTCAAAAGTTGTTCTCAAAAGCAAGAGGACAACTTGCTGGAGTCAGTTTTTTTTTTTTTTTTTTTTTTTTTTTACTTCCACCAAGTGGGTCCTGGGAATGGAACCCGGGAGGTTAGGCTTATTTGGTGACAGGCACCTTTACCTGATGAGCCATCTCAGCAACACCCCTCCCCCATTGAAACTTTTAAATTTAAATGAAGAATTTTCTCCTTAAATATTATTATTATTATTTTTTATTTCGTTTGAGACAGGGTTTCTCTGTAACAGCTCTGGCTGTCCTGGGACTCTTTGTAGACCAGGCTGACCTCTAACTCACTGAGTCCTGCCTGCCTCTGCCTCCCAAGTGCTGGGATTAAAGGTGTGTGTCACCACTACCCGGCTTATTTAAATATTAATTAAAAAAATTTCCATGTGTCCGTGTCTACAAAGGCCAGAAGTGTTGACTCTCTCTGAAGTTACAGGAGGTTCTATACTGCCAGATGTGGGTGCTGAGACCTGAACTTAGGTCCTCTGCAAGAGCAGACCTTAATGTCAGTACAGAGCCGCAAAAACTTTTAGTGGGGGTAAGGGGAGAATGGGAACGGAATGGGAGAACAAATTTGATACCTTTGTAAAGAAATCAGAGTTCTCAAATCACTAGAAAGCTAGATAGAGGTGTTGAATAAGGGGTTAAGGTTTAACTTCAGGATTTAGTAGTGTTCAAAGAACAGAATACAGTTTTTTACAAATCAAGCTTACAAGGAGAAACCTAGGATAGGCGAAGGAAAACTCTACCTTCCCAAATCCCACAATAACCTGCTCACTGAAGGGAAATTTTATCCTCTTTCCTGCCTTTTCAAATTCCCTTTCTATCTTATTGGTAAGGCCAGAAGGTCGCCTGGGGGAAGGGAAGCTGAATTGACAGATTTCCACCTGCTCATGTGGTCACTGGGGATGTGTGGAATAAGACAGACCCAGGCTCCTAAGAGCATCAAGCCCATCTCAACTAAAATCCTGCTTCCCTCCTTACCTTGTCTTTGTCAGTCTTCTCTTTAATTTTCTGTAGCCTCAAGGTCAGATGGAGCTCTTGTCCTGGCCCCGTCAGTGCAGGGTCTAGCCTTCTTCCTCTTCGCTCCCCTTCCCTGCTCCTTTCTTTTCTCAGTCTCCCAGAATAGTGCCCATCTCCTTTTTTTCATCCTTCCCTTTGAGCTAAAAAACTTACTCAAATTTCCCTCATCTTTGTCAGGATTCTAGCCTCCACGTAAAGCTGCCCTACCCTTCCGCCAAGGCCTTAGGAAGGCATTTTCAGTTCTGTTGGCCTTTGTACCCTACTTTCTACCAAACTGCTTTCTTACTAGTGACTTGTTGAATAACGAATCAAAGACTGCTTTATCCCAAGTTTTCCCACAGTGTTTAATGTTGACAACTCTGTCTTCTCTTCTCTGATTCTTTTTGCCTTTTCTTTTATTCTGGTCCTTTTTTCTTTTTGAAAGTGTCACGGTAGCCCAGGATGGCCTTGAATTCGAATTCTCCCACCTTACCTTTGATCTGTAGCATTTGATGTTAAACACTTCTCTCTTCCTCTCTCTGTTTTTTGCTTTTTCATTTGGTTCCTTTTCTTTTTGAGACAGGGTCTCATGTAGCCTGGGAGGTCCTAGATTTAAAGTCGTCCAACTTCAGCCTCAACAGTGCCAGGATTACAGGCATGTGCCAGGATTACAGGCATGTGCCACAGCCACCTTTTCAAGGCTCTGTCTGTGAGTTTCTTTCCCTTTACACCAAACTAGGCTGCACATAAGAAAGTCTGAAGAGGGCTGTAGGGATGGCTCAGTGGTTAAGAGCACTTGTTGCTTTTGCAGAGGACCCACTTGGTGGCTCACAACTGTCCTAACTTCCTGGTCCAGGGCATCCAAAGCCTTCCTCAGGTGCCTGCGAGCACCAGGCATTCTCCCATGCACACCTATACCTGTGGGGAAAACATTCATAGGCATAAAAGCAACAACAACAAAATTTTAAGAAAATAATCTGAGAAATTTAAACAACTCTAGCTGCTCAGGCCATGCCTTAAGCCAGTTAAATCAGAACGCTGAGGGGTAGGGCCCAGACAACAGTTTTTTGTTTCATTTCTGGTAAGTACAATATTCAGCCAAAATGCTTCTCATTCTTGATGGATTCCGTTCAACAACTGCTCTAACCTTGGTGTGCACTTAGCACCATACTACAGTCTTTGCTGGAACATTTATTTCATTGACCTGTGCCTGAAGCACCTCCAAAATCACCGCATATGAAATTATTGGACGAGTTTACTGTCAGTCTTTCCACCATGTGGGTCTGAGAGCTCGAATTCAGGGCGTCAAGGCTAGACTGCAAATGCTATATTTTCCCCAGCTAACCCCTGATGACCATTTTTTTTTTTATTTTACCTTAACATTCTCCCAAATACTTTAACTTAAAATCTGAGTAAGCTCCTTTTCTTCCAGCTATAGTGAATCTCCACACATCGGTTCCTCTGAAATGACGTCATGGCATGTCCCATCTCTGTCCCTGTTGTGTGCTGTGTGCTGATTTCTGGCCTAGCTCTGCTCTTTGGTTCTGGGCCTTGCAGCTGGTGTGAGTGAATTAGCAGCTGACAGTGCGGTGCAGTCCTTTCCTCTTCCTTGTTCTGAGTCCTTGAGGAATGCCTGTTGCCTGTGGCTAGTTGTGAAAGACCCTGGTGATTGGCCCCACTCTTTTCTTTTTCCTTACAGCATGTTACAAACTAAGGCAATGCCAGGTGGTTCTGGCCTTTCAGTTTAAATGTGAAATATTGAAAGACTTGATCCCACCGTCTCTTCAGCCAGAACCCCTATGTGCTTCCGTGACATTTCCCTCTTTCGTATTCCCTATGGTTTTGAATTAAGAAACTGGATATGGACTAATAATGATCCAAGAAAATAGTTTTCTCAAAAGTAGTGGAAATTCCTGTCAGAAAATTGGGAGTTGCTCAACTGTTTATTTAGACAAAAGTTAGGGT